ACACACGTGGCATCCCAGAGCAGAGGACAAGGGGCAAAGAACCAAGCAGGGCTGCCCGCACAGCGGGGGGTCTCACAAGCAGAGCTGAGCAAAGGAAGAGGGCATGTGACCTGAGCCACACAATCCCCCAAAGCCCACAGAACATCCCAAGGGATGGAGACCTGCCGTATAGGGATCCCTGGGGAAGGGGAGTGGGAGTTCCCAGGGCACAGGGGGTCGTGTGTGCTTGTGGGACACGTCCTGGTTGGCAAACGTCATGCCATGCACTTTCCTGTGGCAATGTCACACGTCGGTCCTAGACCAGCCACACGCAGCAGGCCAGGGACTGCCATGCCACAGGCAGCCATATGCATGTGCCTGGGGCTCACATTTCAGCACAATTAGAACGTGCAGACACCAACGGTACAGGCTGCCCTCAGGGCCTCTGTAGGCCTCTGCCGGACGACTTGCTGGAAATCAATGCCATGCCCCAGACATGAGATGCAGATCCACGGGGCTGCAGGTCAGGGGGACACACCCTGTAGCCGAGGGGTTGGGGGGCCCAGGGCCCTGTCCTACCCAGCACCCCTGCCCCAGCCCCACAGGGGACTTCCCCACCACCTCCAGTACAGACCTGGGAGCAGGGGCCCCTGCTGGGTATACACCAAGCAGGCTTCTGGCCAAGACAAGGAAGCCCTGGCATGCGGACCCTGAGAAGAGGCCCACACTGGCCTCCCAGCTGCAGGAACTTGCCAGCTACCACTCTACCTGGGGCTCAGGAATGCCACTCAACTTTCAGAATCTCCAAATGCCAGAATCCTGCTTGGTGTAGAGATAGCACCAACGGTGTGGGAAGAAGTTTCTAGAGACATGAGGGCCTCTGGAAGCGAAGAGGTTTCCCTGCACCTGACAGCCCAGCCTAGCTCGGCACAGAGCAGGGGCCCGGCCCCCAGGGCAAAGCAGTGAGTCTGAGGGCAAGGGGTGCGGCAGCTTCAGGGGCCTAGACAGCCAGGGCCAGGCCCAGGTGCTGGGGCCACAGCCCTTGGGCTCCCTCCATAGGAGGGTCACCACACAGGAAGGAGTGTCAGCCCGTCACGGGCCTCCCAACAGCCCTCGGAGGCATGGCCATGTAGGATGAAGGGAGGTACACCGAAGCCCTGGGAGGAGGGGTTTGCCAAGGAGGCCCCCAGCCCCCGGGCTCCCAGATCGCCCAGCTCAGCCCTGCTTGAGGCCTAGCGCCCTGCAGGCCATTTTCCCAGGCCACAAACTGGTGGCTCATGGCACAACCGGGTTAGCCCATAATGCTTTCTAAAAACTTGGATTAGTTGCCAGTGGTTAACAGTCAAGAGACCTTGTACAAAATACAGATTTCTAAGTTCTCTTGGAAAACCAGATGCTCAGGCAGACAGGCCCACGTTCCCAGCTGGCAGAGCCACCAAAGCAGGCCAAGCCGCGGGGGAGCATGGTGCCCCCTTCGGGGCAGTTCCAGCACAGGGCTTGCCCCGGAGTGCCCCACGGCAGGGACTGTTCCCACCTTTGCTTCACAGAAGGGAGAGCAGAGAAGGCTGCCGGGCCAGGAGGGGCAGGGCGGGCACCCGCTGAAGGCCCAGGGCCTGTCATCTGCCCACCCACCACAGGGGCCTGGGCGGACAGAGGACTCAAACCAGGGCTGCCCTTAGGAACTGCTGCCAGGGCTCAGGGGTCTCCAGGGGTCCCAGGGGAGATGGATGCAGTACATGCCGGGCTGGGGTTCTGGGGGAGGGGGTCCCCCAAGGGGATGTGCTGCCTCCAGGGGGAGGGCAGGTGGTGAGCAGGGTCTCTGGGGAAAGACGGAAGAGTCAGGGGTACCCCCAGCCAGCCCTGAGCAGCTGAAGTTGGCAGATCTTAAATTAATTGGCTGCAATTTTACACTGCATTCAGTGGGACCTGGCCTGGGGCCAGCCGAGTCCCTAGAGCAACCCAGTCCCTTTTTAAAGCCCAAAAAGGCCCAGGCCTGGGGAAGATGGGGACATGTCAGCACAGCAGGCCTGCCCCTGGGTGGGCGGTGGACAGAGGTCCCCAGGGCCCAGGCTCTAGGTGACAGGGAGGGGGCACAGTACTCAACTGGATCAGAGGGCTCTCCTGCCGTGGCCCTCCCTGCCCTGGCTACAGCCCCTGGACCACAGCCACCCCCACCCCTGGGCTGGGTCAGAACAACACGGAGGGGAGGACGCTGCTGCTGAGAAGTATGTGTGGCAGGGAGCAGGTGTCATTTGCAGGGTGTCAAGGCTGGAGGCCAAGTGTGGGGATGTGGGGGAGGTACAGAGCTGGGTGGGCAGGGTGGGACTGGAACCCTGGGTGAGGGATAGATGAGGCACCATGTGGGTGGGACCTGGGGCTCAAGGGCACCACGGGCTCTAGGAAATGGGGAGGCAGATACAGCAGGAGAGCTGGGCCACCCATGGGAGCTGGAGCCAGGCCTGATCCCAGGGCAAGGGAGGGCCAGACAGCTGCTGGCTGCTGACTGTGCAGGCTGGCAGCTCAGGGCAGCAGCAGGCAGCAGGGGCTCTGGAGAGATGGGATGCACTAGGCCCAGGCTTCCTGACAAGAGTCACTGAAGAAGGAGCCCCCATTTCCTTTCTTCCAGGAACCCACAGAAAAGGGGAGGGAGGCCACAGTTATGAGACAGGACCCTGGCACATGCGGCCTCCACTGTGTGCCTCGGTTTCCCCACCTGCCAAATGGATGTCAGGGCTGTTGTGAGGATTCTGTGAGGTGCCACTGCATGTAAGCACTCGCCGTGTGTCCCGGATAGACCAGGAGCACACCAACTCTGGGCTTGCTGGTGCATCCTCTCGTCCTTCCTTGCAGTGCTTGGGGAAACCAAGGCTCGAGGAGGCTGGACAGCGGGCGAGGGGAGAGCTACGACAACACCAAAGCTCAGACATCTGCCCAAACTCATGTGAACAGCGGGCCACGGGATGTGGGTCAGCGGATGCAGGAGGAAAAGATGCAGGAGGCAGGGCTAGAGGCAAGGTGGGGCACTCCACAGGGGGGCCTCACGGCAAACTCAGCTCTCATTCCCCACCTGCAGGCTGTGCCGCCAGGAGGCCGGTAGCCCTGGGCACCCCACATGCCCCAGAAAGAGCACCGTCCACTCATGGGCAGAGCAAGGCACCCGGCCTGGATGTCCCCAATGGTGGGAAGAGCGGGTGGCCAGGATGGGGCAGAAGAGAGGGACAGGGCAGGGGAGAAGGGGGGACAGATGAGGAGGGGGCGTCCCCACACCCAATGCAGCCCCTTCTCACAGACGGGCCCAAGCCCAACCCCAGGGTCGGTGCACTCAGCCTCAGGTTCCCCTCTGTGAGGCCAGAGCAGGGAAGGTGAGCAGGACCAGTTAGCTCACAAAGCTCCCACCCAGATGGCGGCCCTGGGGCAAGGGAGTGAGGCTGGGGCCAGGGCTCGGAGAGGCAGGGCTGGTCTAACCTGCTCTCACAGGCTCACAGGGTGGCCTGTGGGTACAGACAGCCCTCAGCCAGCTGCCTGCTAGCTGGTCAAAAGGACCACTCCCAGCCCCAGGAGCCCCGCCTCCTGCTGGGTGACAGGCTCTGGGCCACCCTTCGCATGTCTTCAAGCAGGCCTAGGCCCCCCATCCCGCCCCCGCTCCAGGGGCCGTTCTGTGCAGAGACACTAGCCCATGGCAGGCACAACCCACCACACACACACCAGGGGCACCACCAGCCCCTCTCCCCTGATCCCCCAGCCTGCTGGGCCCTCCCTGGGGTAAGAAGGGGTAGTGTGTGCTCTTGTGAGACCCCACCCATGGAAGGCCCTACACCCAGGTAGCAGGCATTACCCCCGACACCAGGGCCAGGGAGGGTCAGCTGTAGGAGGGTGGCAGGGTGCCTAGCTGGGCAGGACTCATCCTCACCCCCACTGTGAGCAGAGCCCCCAGCACCTCAGGGCCCCCCCACCCTTGAGTCAGTAGCTGGGACCCCACTGTCCCAGGGCGACCCCAGCCCCGAGCCCACATGTCTGGACTCATTTCTCAGGTGGGGATGTCCCTTCCAGAACTAACAGGTCCAGCAAGGAGCGGGACATGATTCCCAGGGCTCCGCCGGTGGCAGAGACAAGCAGCCCTCTCCCGAGCACCCAGCGCACAGCCGAGTGCAGGCAAGGACCTTGCCAGCCAGCCCCAGCCCCCACCCACAGGCTCGTGCTGGGCAGGGAGCTATGTCAGCACCAGGTCTCAGGACAGCTGTCATTGCATCTACCAGGCTCCACCCCTGCACTGACTCTGGGGCTCCCGGGTGCCTCCCCGCTGCAGGTGCCCTGGTAGCTTCCTCCACAGCAGGCCGGCGCATCCGGAGCTGGTCCTCACCCACCCATCAGCAGGGGCCTGAGTTACAGGGTGCCCATGCCCTCCCCAGCCAGCTCCATCCCTGCCTCACTCAGCCTGACCCTTGCTGCTATGAGAAGGAAGCCTACAGATGCCAGGCAGGCCCTGGGCCCCAGACCTGTACTCTCCCCCAGTGGGGACCATAGAAGGCCCAGAAGCTGGCCCTGCATTGCTCTGGAGCCCCCATGCCACTCCCCCACAGCCGGTGGAGGTGGGGGCACTACCCTTGCCCTGCCCTTGGCCCTGCCGTCTCTGTGCAGGCAGCGGGGCATGCGCCAGGGCAGAACGCTGCCTCAGCAGACACTGGATCCCAGGAGGGGAGGCGGCCCCCCACAGCACAGTCCTCCCAGGAGGTCACTGTACACCCTCAGAGAGCAAGGCCAGCATCTCTGGGCACCAGGGGGGTGGCGGGGCGGCCAGGCCCCTCACAAGCCCCGATCTGCCCGCAGACAGCCAGACGCCCAGCCAGGGCCTTCACACAGGCCACACATGGAAGCAGACCCCTGAGAGGGGAAGGGAAGGGAAGCACAGAGGAGTGGGGTCCGGCCAAGGTGCCCCTCACAGTCACAGAGCACCTCTTCACAGCCTGGATGATGCTGGCTCTGCCCCGCTACCGCCAACCGCCTGCCCCCCGGGGCCTGACCTTGCGGATGCGGCCGCTGCGCGTGCCGGCGAATACCACAGTGCGGCCCCGGTAGTCATAGGCAGCCACAGCAGTCAGGCCGTCGTCCTTGTCCACAAACAGAGGCAGGCCCTCAATGGTGACCGTGCCCCCCAGCGGCTGGTTGAAGTCCTGCCCGCAGAAGTCATCATCGATTTGCAGGGGCTGTGGGAAGTGAGAGGGTGAGACTAGGCCAGCCCTCTAACTGGGGTGCTGCTGGAGTGGGCAGGGGCCCACAGGCAGACCTTAGGGGCAAGCACAGGGCCACAGAGGGGCCACAGCATGGGCATAGCCCATACAGGTCTGGGAGATCAGACTCCTGGACCCACTGGACCAATGGAGAAACCAAGACTGGCAGAGCTGCCCGAGGGCCTCGCATACATCCCAGGGCAGGCACAAGCCTCACCCACCCACTGCACCCAGACTCCACTCCCACCTCAGCGTGGGAGACAGAGACGGAGAAAGGACTCAGCCCAGGGAAAGGCCAGGGACAGGGGCAGCTGACAGGGGGCCAGGCCCACTGCACCCATGACAGCCATGGGGGTCCTGCGGGGTGCAGGAAGGGCTTAAGACAGGAGATAGGGGTCACATCTAAAAGGCAAAGGGAGGGGCCCCGAGAGGAGGTGGCTGAAGGTCCAGGAAGGAAGCCCTCGATGAGGGAGGTTCCAGAGATGGCTTGGGGCTTACGGGAGGGCAGGCAGAGGAGGAGGGTTCCCAGTGGGACAAGGACACGGCCGGCTCCCTGGGAAGGCTGGGGGTCTGAGGTGTGCAAGGAGAGAGGGCGCTGATGCAGTCAAGCAGGCCAGGCTGGGGCTGGGCTGAGGGTCCTTAGGGCTTGGACCTGGCCAGGGGCCCACAAGGACAAGGGAATGGGAGACTAGGGACACTGGGAACAGAGCCTATGGGGATGGGGGCAGAGCTGACAGTGGGTACGGGAAACACAGAACACCCAGCATGACCTTGGCCCTCTGAGCCTCAGTTTCTCCACCTGCACAACGGAGATAAAATGCTTTCTTGTAAAGGCCAAGGGGCACGTGGACAATGCATGGGCCTAGCGCCCCAGGACCTCAGTGTGGAGGAGGCCTCGGCACAGCGGGGCCTCCATCAGACCCAAGCAGCCCATGTGAGAGAAGGCTGAAGGGGCCCTGTCATCCCAGCCTAGCCAGAAGACAAACCAGTGTCACCCCCAGCACTGAGAGGGTGAAACGGAGGCCACAGAGAGGCCAGGCTTTCTCTGGGCCACCCAGTGAGCCCCAGGCAGCAAGGGCAGAGGGGCTGAGGTCTGGCCCTGGAAGTCCTTGGTGACTCTGGACAGGGCCTTACCCACCCTAAGCCTGGAGGGTTCCTCGGAAAATCTATGGATCCCACTGCCTGGGGTATGGGTGAGATGCTCCCTGAAAAGCTGTAGGCCCCAGGCTGGCCCCATGAGGGCCTCGAGAACGGGCTGCCGCCGCAGCTGGGAACACCAAGTGCCTGTGCGCTCAGAATGCCTGAATGTCAGGGCTGGGGCCGTCAGCTCCCACTGCAGATGAAGCCAGCGGGGCCCCCAGGGCAAGGCTAGTGGGGCCTCTTGACAGGGGAACATGGGGGGAGATGGTGTCTGGGGTCCACCGGACCCAGTCTGGTCCCAGCTCTGCCTCTTACTGGCTGTGTGACCCTGGGCAAGTCGCCTCACCTCTCTGAGCCTAGGTGGCCTTATCCATAAAATGGAGAGAAGACTGGGCTGACAAGCACCCGAATAGTGCCAGGCATGTGGTCAGAGCTCTGCCCACCACCCACAGGGGCCTGTTGGTGGGCACAGTCCCATCAGCTCATCTTCTAAAGGGACAGGATAGCCACAGACCCCGGAGTACTGCCCCCGCTCTGTGAGACAGGGCAGTGGCGGCACCTGATGTAGAGCAAGCACCAGGCACCATAGGGCAGGAGGCCGCGTCAATGCCTCGGGTGAGAGTGGGATGCACAGGCCCTGAAGGGGCCGGCGGGCGGGAGCAGCCCCCCGGCGGTACCCACTCACCGAGTTGATGCAGCCCAGCTCCTTGTTGAGCAGCCAGGGCAGTGAGAGCTTGCCCTCGCCTCGGTAGCAGGACTGGATGCGCTCCTTGATCTTCTCCTTGATGGCCCTGAGCGTGAACAGGCACAGAACCGACTCCTTGGGCGGCTTCACGCGGTTCTTCTGGCCCTGTGCAAACACGGTGAACAGCACGTCCTCGTCCTCAGCCAGGCCCAGCTGGCGGGCCAGGGCACGGCCGGGCCGGCTCAGGTAGGCATCCTGCACCAGGCGGTACTCCACCCCTGCCTGCTCACAGCCGATGGGGAACTCCACGTATGAGTAGAACTTGGGGTCATCCACACACAGCCGCACAATCTTGGAGGTGAAGAAGTGCTCGCCGGCGGCGTCAGGTGAGGTCAGCTGCGTGTCCAGCTGCAGGGTGAGGTAGTAGACGAACTGCTCGCTGCGGAAGCTGTACACGTAGTAGATGTCGAAGGCTGGGAACTTGGACAGCGTGTCCGAGGGGATCTTGAGCTGCGAGGACACGAACTCGTCTTGGTACACAAAGCCAAACATGTCAGCGTCCTCCTCGTTAGCCATGAGCCGGCGGCTGGACAGCGTGGGGAAGTACTCCGACTTGCCATCGATGGGTGTGCCCACGAAGAGTTTGGCCTGGCCCTGGCCTGGAGGCCCAGCAATCAGCACGCCAGCCATGCTACCCGCCTCGCGCACACTCGACAGGTAGTGCTCCTTGCGATGGTGTGGCTCACCCAGCTTGAACAGGTCGTCGAGCCGCAGGAACTGGCAGATGCCCTGTGAGGCGCTGCCACAGGCTAGCAGGCGGTTGGCGGCATAGTCAAGCAGTAGCAGCTTGTTGACGTTGTCGGTGCTGCCCAGGCCGTGTGGGCAGGACTGCACGCTGGGGGGCGGGTAGCACTTCTCGTTGTCCTCCACGGGGCCTGTCACGTGGGCCCGCAGCAGTGTCAGGCTCCCCGACAGCTTGTAGATGCGGTTCACTGCTCCCACGTACACCTCGCCTGTCTGCTCATGTACCACCAGGTGGGTGAGGCCCCAGTCGCTGGCCACAAAGGTGTGAAATGCGGGCTGTGGCCCCCCGGCCACCCCGGGTGCAGCCCCCAGCAGCAGCATCAGGAGGAGCACACGTGGGCTCAGATGTGGCAGTGGCATGGCGGGCCGGGGCCGTGGGCTGTGCTGCTCTGGTCCTGTAGGGGCATGCATCATGGGGCCAGGAGCCTGAGCCCTGTGGGAGAACAGGCGCAAGAGGGCACATGGGTGACCACAGGAGGACACAGACACACACACCGTCTCATGAGCTTTGCGTGTGTACCAGGGCTCACCAAGACCAAGCCCCTGACCGTCACAAGAAGCAAGGGACACCGGGCTGGTGACCAGAAGTGCTCCATCAATGTCTGCACCTGCCATCCCCAGGCAGAAAGAAATGGACCCTGGAACAGGGAGGTGGGTGACAAGGGCCCAGGGTCTAGATGGGGAGCCCAGCTGACAGCCCAACCCAGAGACTATCACCTCCTGACACAGTCTCCCCACATAAAGCAAGAACCCCCAGCTCTGAGCTCACATGGTAGGTGACCCCCTCTCTGCCAAGGTTCTAGGGACATGTAATGTCCTGCAGGCCCTGGACAGCAGGCACCACCCCCAAGGTAGGCAGGACACAGGCAGCAATTCTTGGCATAGGTGGGAGGCAGTCTGAGTCACCTCAGCCCTGGGACCACTCACCGGCTGACCCTGGTCCAGCCCCTTGCCAGACCTCAAGCTCTGTACTCCCAGGAATGATCCAGAAGCCAAGCTGTGTACACCTCCCACCCACCATCTGCACCTCCAGCCAACTGATGCCCCCTCCCACTCTCTTCCTGCACCCTCACCCCAACTCCAAGGAAGAATCCTTCACAGGAATAGGATGGGGGACCCCCAACACTGCCCCTGGACTGTGTCCTCTACCCCTGACCTCCAGCACCTTCACTACAACCATCCCCACTCTGACCTGCCCAGAGGCTCAGCTCCACTCCCACAACAGCTCTCACCTGCACTTCCTGGGTCAGCTCACTACCCAAGTCCACCAGCTTTCCCCCCAAAACTGCCCACCCCTCTCCCACCTAGGTGACCACAGCACTTGGCCCCTCACCCATGTCCACAGAGAGCCCAGTCTCCACACGGTGGCCTGGGCCACTATTCTGAACTGTACGTGAGTTCACCAGCTCCCCAGTCCGGCAGGGGCCCCCACTTTCCTCTGGAAAAGTCTCATTCCCCCAGGCCCTGCAGCAGGCAGTCAGGCTCGCCAGGCTCTGGGTTAATTCCAGACTCTGTTGCTCTGTAGCCATGTGGCCCTGATGGGGATCACCACTCCTTCCCAGACTCAGTTTCCCCATCTGTAAAATGGGGATGACAGATTTTCTCTCTCATGGATAGAAGAGGAAAGCTGGGGCACACCAGCGAGGTGCCGTCAGCAGGCGCACCCTCTCGGTGCTAGCAGGGACCCCACCCTGGCCTCTCACCGGCTCCTGGCTGGAGAAAGACCACAGCGGTGCTAACCCCCGGCTGCAGGCAGACTCCAGCTGGGGCTGCACACACCCTCTGTTCCCAGAAAATGTCCCTCAAATAGCCCAGAAGCCCCATTTTACAGGTGGAGAAGCTGAGGTCCAATGTCCAGGCTGGGAACTAGCTCTGCGACAGCAGGCTGCTGGATGGAGCCCACAGCACAGGGCTCCCCTGCCCTCCCCAGGGTGGTGGGCTTGCTGTCCCTCCAGTGGGACACTCTTCCCTCCCTGGCTGCCACACCCCAGCTGAGGACAGCAGCTGCCCGTCTCAACCAGACACCCCATGTCCACATGTGGTACCGGATCTGCTCCTGGTTTTGTTTCTTCTTGTTCTCAGATGCTCTGCCCACTAGAACAATGGCTGCAATTGGCTACTGCACCCAAGCCAAAGCCAGGACCCAGCATTTGTGAATGAATGAATGGGTCCTGGGCAGAGCAGGCCCTGCTGCCTCCCCTGCTGTCCCCACTCCCCACACCCTTCTGCCCAGTGAATGCTCACACCTACCGCTCAGGTTGGGAAACCAAGGCTCCCGGAAATGAGGGGGTTTTAGCCAGGATCCTACAGCAAGAGAGCCAGCCAGGTGGTGCTGCCCTGCGGGACCCGCACAGCAGGCTGGCAGCTGCCTGTCCTCAAGCATCTCCAGCCAGACGTCAGCCCGAGAACCACAGCCGCCAAGGGGCCTTGGCGGGCAGCCAGGCAAGGAGTCCCCAGCACCCCACCCCCAGCACAGGAGCCTGAGGCTGCTGGGGAGCTGGGGAACAGGCTTCTGGCAGTGGCAGTGGGGCCTGGGCTGAAAGTGGAGTGCATGTGAACTCCAGAGAAAACATGAATCACTCACGTTTATCAGTTCAAAGCAGGCCTGTGATTACCAGGGGCTGGGCTCCCCCTCCTCTGGGATAATTATACACGTCTTAATGCAATTACAGGCCCTACTCTTCATATTAAACAGGAGGGACCCGGCTGGAGAAGCCACCATCCAAACTCCAGCCTGGCCCTGGGCCCACTCCTCCTCCCCACCACAGGGGCTGTGGGAAGGGTCCAGCCAGGGCCACAGAGGTGCTGGCGAGGAAAGGGAGGACCCCAAGCCCAGGACTGGGTCCCTCGCCCCCACCATCTCACAGGAGCCAGTGAAGATGTCTGGGTCACTTTCCCGATCTAGAGACACCGGGCCGAGGGATCCGGCAGACCCAAGGTCACCCAGCTAGTCCCGGCAGGACAAGGGTGGAATCCCAAGCTCCTACAGAGACAACCAGCCAGCCGACCTGCTAGGCTTTGACTCCCACCAGCCTCTGGGCTGCCCTGGGAAGAAAGCATTCATTCCAATGCTGGGCCTGGGGAGGGGGGGGCTGCCAAACGCTATGTGGCTGGGAGGGGAACAGAACCAGTGGTCTGGGGAGATGCCTCCAGGGGGCCTTTCCACCTGTTCAAGAAGGACAGGCTCGAAAGACTGGGAACAGGGAGGGGGGGAGGGCATCCAGGGAGGCAGAGCAGCAAGAGCAAAGGCCTGGGGATGGGACCTGCTGGACCACGCAGAGGGCGGTACGCATGGCTGCAGCTTCCTGGGGCCCTGGGCTGTGCTGGGGCCCAGGCAGAGCCAGAGGGGGGAGGGAACAGCTGAGCTGCTTGGGTGTGCCCAAGGGGGTAGGCCAGGGGGACTGAGGCCGGCACAGAGGCAGCTGGAGCCATGGCACCACGGGCTCCATTCCTGGATAGGGTGGGCTTGGCCGTGCATTAGCTTGTGGAGAGCAAGGTCCCCTTCCCCTGCCCCAGCCGACACCACTCCGCGTCACCCTGAGAAACAAAGGCCCTCAGAGCCCTTTTCACAGAGGGAAAGCCCAGTCCCCATGCCCTCCGGCCCTGGATCCTTCTGGGGCTTGGGCTGGCTTGGGGCATGGGGCTGGCAGGGGGGTGGGGGGAGTACTGCCATCCTGCCCAGTGGAGCCCAATTAGCAACCAGGGCAGAGAGCTGCCCCTGTCACCCCACCCCCCACCAAAAGAGGCCCCAAGAGGAGGTCTCAAGCTGCCCTGCTCTCCCACCAGACAAGTCCTGTGGAACTGGGGTCTGGGACATCGTTGCCCTGCTCCTCAGAAAGAGCACCTACCACTCAGGCCTTCCCTCAAAGAGCCCCTTCCTCCTGGGGTTGCTCTAGACAGAGACCTTCCTGGGGTATCAGAGTATGCAGGTAATGACCTGCGGCCACAGGAGCCCAGCTTTTGCACCTCAGTTGTCCCCCACCCCCAAACACCTACCTCAGCACACAGGGGCTTGTCAGACCTCCACCCATGCTGTAATGCCTGAAATGCCCTTCCTGGGTGCCCCCCAAGGCTAATTTGCAGCCTGATCCTGAAGCAGAATCACTGGTTTTTCGGGACTCCCTCTGGCATGGGACTGGGTATTCCTCAAGGGCTGGGCAGAGTTGTGCCTGCCTAGGGCAACATTGGTCCTCCGGCACACCCCAAACCAGCTAGATGCAGAGGAAACCTGGGGCGTGCTCCCGCAAGGCCGGAGGAGCAAAGGCTGAGCCCCACCCCCGCATAGACCCAGAGAAGCAGCCTCAGCCTGGAAGGAGGTGGGGCAGACTTAAGCCGCTGGAGCCTGGGTTCCGGGGACAGATGCACGGTGCACATCGCCCCCAACACACACACCCCTTTCTTTCAAGGGGCGTGGCCCCAGCACCCCACAGATGAGCCAGGGACATCTCCAGGCTCTAAGCAGCCACGGAGCCCCTTCACCCCCCTTTACCGGGCTGCACCTGGGATCTTACAGCGATCAGGGGCCTCCCTGGAGGCGCGCTCTCCCTTCCCCCAGGCAACCCCGAATCGGCCCCACCGCCATCAGCTCCGCGGCACAGCAGGCCCAGGACTGTCCAGGAAGCAATCGGAAGCCTCCGAGGGAAGCGGGTTGACCCTAGAGAGGCCCTGGGAGGGGGAGGCAACAGAGGCCCGAACCAGGGGGGCGGCTTCCCGGGCAGCACCCGCACCGCCCCCTCCCAGCACGGGTGCGCGGCCCGGCGGGCCTGGGGCGGACACAGCACCCGTCGCCCGGCACCCCGGGCCAGAGGGGGCGGGGGCGGGCGTCGGACCCGAGCAAGCGGCTCCAACTTCCAGCCGGCGCCCTCGGGGCCGCCGAGGGCACAGCCCCGCGCGCCCTCCTCAGACTCCCGCGGCCCTGCCCTGGCGGCCACGCAGCAGCGCCCGGGCCTGCCCATCCCGGCCCGGCCCTGCCGGCGGCCGGAGCCCCAAGCGGCGGTCCAGCCCCCGGACTCGGCCGGAAAACCCGCAGGGTCCCCCGGCGGGGCCGCCGCAAACTTTCCTCCTGCCTGTGATGAGGGGGCAGCGCCGGCCCCCGCCCCCGCCGCCCACCCGGGCTCTGCCCCGCGGAGCTCGGCGGGCCGGGCCGGGCCGGGCCGGCGGGGAGAGGCGGCGGCCCGGCC